ACGAAATTCAGTTTTTTAAAAAACGTGTTGTCTGATAATCCCTGAAGTCACCACTTACCTGGGAAATTTTAGCTCTTTTATTTACCTTCCTTTCAAATATATTTTAACAACTTAAAAAAAAATACTTTTTGTCACAGATAAGTTACAAGAATAGTACAAAGAACTGAATCTCTTCATCCAAAGTTACCAGTTATTAACATTTTTCCACAGTTGCTTTCTCCCTCTCTATATATACATATATGTAATATTTTTTCCTGAATCATTTGAGATTTGTTGCAATTGTCAAACTTCTTTATCCCTACTTGAGTGTTTAACAGTGTTTTTGTCACTCAGATTACCCTGAGATATGAAGCTTTTAGACTTTTCTGGTAGCTTTATTTTTTCACTTTCAACAGCTTTATTGAGGTATAATTTATATACCATACCATTTATTTTAGATTGCATTTTTATTCCTTCCTTCCTCTCACTGGCAGTTGCTGGTACAGTGCTACACCTGGCTGAGCGAATGGTTTCTTTTGGAGCTGATAAAGCTGCCTTATGAAATCAGCTGACAGGTATATTATACCTACAGATGATGCTTTTTCTCCCGAAGAGTTTGGGTTCAGAGTGACCCACTCAACAATGACTAACAGATACTCTAAGCAAAAGGCTGAATTTTTGTCCAATTTTATGAATGTAACTGTAAAAGATTATTTGAACTCTTAAATACTCAAGTTGTCATTTTACAATAAATAGTATTAAGCAAGATTCTAGATTTAAAAGTTATAATTTCTCTGAATTTTTGGTCTTAAAGGAAGAAAGTTATCTTTAGAGTTAAAAAGCAAAGAATTTAGGCCCTTTAGGTTTCATATTTTATTCTGGATTAGCATGAGACATGTTTGAAATGGCTGATTTTCATTTTTGCTTGGACTTGAGATCGTTTGCTCTTTTTTTTTTTCTTTAAATAATATATTGCTTGGGGATCAGTGTATTTTTACTGATTTGATAGTTGTATCTAACTATTAGAAAGCCAAGTTTTATAGTACATGACTCCTACTTACATATTTCTCTTTTTTTCTCCCCAGGGACGAACTGTAAAAGCAACATCAGCTTGACCAGTATATATTACCGTGGATTGCTCATCTCAGTCCTCAAAGCTTTTTGAACACCAACAGCATCACAGCTTGTTTTGGACTTTGTTACACTATTATTTTTAGCATGAAAATGTGTGGTTTTGTGGAGTTTCTAATTCTTCAAAGAGGCACAGAAGCCAAACTGGTAGAAGAAGGATGTGAAGTCTACATTTGTGTAGTGTTAGTTTAACATGCCCACATTTTACTTTAAAATATTAAACAAAGGGGTTCTGAAAATGGAAAACTTAGTAATTGAATTGATTTGGAGGAGTGGATTTTCTTTTCTTAGACACTTAATTCTGTTCCAATATTAATTTATCAGATTGCTTTTGTGCATCAGATAACACCACCATTCACAAGTTGAGATTCTTGGTTTTTTGACGTCTATTAGATGCTACTAAGAAAATAGAGATGAGCGTCCTTTTTAAAGCTTTTGATGTGGTGTTATAGAATAGCATGTTGTAGATACAATCAGCTGCTTTGTTATCTTAAAACTAAGCATTTGTAAATAATAAAACTTAAGAAAATGGCAGGTAATGTCCCTTAACACTCGGCTGTTCAGATTGGACATAACTGACATAGTTCTTCTTTTCTCTCTTTAAAAATTATAGGAAACTTGTAGCTCAGTATTGTTTCTTGTTTCTAATTTGCTGCTGATAATGTATATGAACTTAACATGCTGTATAAGCTGTGTCCTAGTTACTGAACAGTTTATGCAGTGCTGCTTTGCCAAATAAAGTTAAAAGCAAAAAAGGCATTGATGGTGTTTGAATGTAGAAAAACAGCGTGTCCACCAAATACAGGATGCTAAGATCAGAGAAAAAAGTTGTTTCTCTGATGTTCCATTTTGTGAAATCTGAGTAGTATTAATTGAACTGTACATTTGTGAATGTGACTTTGTTTCTTGAGGACAAGGACACCTCATTTATCATTTTTCTTTGCCTAACACAGGGTTTGTCCTCTTGTAGATGTATAGTAAACGCTGAGTGAGTGAGTGAATGAATTGACTGAGTGTCAGAGAATAGCTGGATTGAGGATAAATTTACCAAAACCCATCTCTAAATTAATAAATGGATTTATTAATATAATGACTGTAAATGGGTTTCTAAGAAGGCCGTAGCACTTTGAGACCTTGTTTAAACTTTGTGGTTTTATACCTTTTGTGATAGGATCTTAGTTTTTCTCAGGGTTCTACAACTTGAAGCAATGTAAGCTCTAGGGCTAGCAGAACTAGAACTCCCAGCAAAGCCCTTCTCTCTGTTGTGTGCAAGTGTATATGATTCTGACAGGTAGATCCTGAGGGTGTGAGGTTGCCCCTCCTCCACCTCTTGAAGCCTTAACATTACTTCTTTAAAAATGGCTTTACAAACATTATGCAGACATGTTTTCACTGGTGTCTCTTCTTGGACAAGGTCTTAGATACAGGAAATTAGCATTAGTTGGCAGCCAAAAGTTGGGAGTTTCAGTTTATTGTTGGTTTCAGTTTGCTGTTGTTGGTATTGTTTCTGGACCCAGGCCATGAACCATTTTGGTCCAGGACTCAGTGTCATTTAAGTATTCTTTAGGATTTAAATTAATTCTTAAACTTCTACTAGTCTTTATCCTTCATAGCCCTTACCAGCATTGTATTACATGTAAACCCCTATGTTAGGTGTTGGGATAGAGAAAGACTTTTACTGTCAAGGAGTTTGCAGTCGGGTTCATAAATCTGATAGGACAAAGTGCCACCTGATTGGTGTAGACAAATGCTATGGCAAGCATTGTTCTTAGACTTTATGCTTTTGTGAATTAAAAATTTTAAACATTGAATAAATATTGAATGGATTTTAACGGAACATCGATAAATGGGTAGAGATAGAAATAATGAATTTTAACTAGGTCTAAGAGTTTTTCTTTACGAGAGTTGAATTTATATATGTGTTGGTCTGAGATAAGAAATCTCTTTAGTCTTTACTATTTATAATTCCTAAAATATTTTAGTATTTCGTTTTTCTTTAGTAGAAGTGATTTATTTACATAATGTGAAGGGCAACAGTGAAATATTTTTAAAGATTCCAGTCCAATGAGAGCCTGTTGAAACAAGGCATTTTTTATAGATTTGATTTTGATAAAGGCCTATTCCAGCTCTCGATTAACAATTAAATAAAATTCCA